CATAGGGTCAAGAACTATGTAGCTAGTATGACAATCATTCTATGGATCTGTATGTACAAATGTAAATAAAAGATTATATCTTTATTAGCAGACCAGCATGCTGTGTGGTCCTATTATGAACTATCTGGAGCACAATTCCAGCTTACCAATGCACCCGAAATCGAGCGTTATGGACCGGAATTGAAAAAGTTATGAGTATTTTCAGAAATCAAAAGTTTCTCTAAACACTAATGAGCCAAATCTCAGTGCTTGTTACAGGTTGTAATTGGATGATTGTGAAGGTTTATTGTTAGTACACTTATCAATACGGACTGTAAAAATATGGAAAAATATGGAGAGTGAAGCTCTCACCGCAGGGAACAAGATGCATATTTTTATTTATTTTTTGCCCTTCTCCTGGCCTCTCAATATTTTCGTGTATCAATAATTTAATTTTCTGCCCAGAAAATATTATCTTTCTTGTAGTGTCAGCGGATCAGGAACCTTTGCGTAATTTTAACGTTAAACGTACCGGGGACGACGCATAGAACGTGAACAAATTCCAAAAGAGAGATCACACAGAAAAAATTGGCAGAGCCTTCATTGTAGAAACTGAAAACCACGTTGCCGAATCGTTGGACTTCAATTGGGAAACCATGCTTATAGACCAAGATGAGTCGAATCGGAATTCCTATTAAGGCATAATGTACGTTAGCACTAATTCAATGAACATATGTAAATCAAGAAACGGCTAACCATTGTGACATTTTGAATACAATAGGTTCATAAAGTCCTTGCTCGAGAGGGCCGCGTCAATGGATTCAAACTGTTCCGACATCAATGTCAATCAATCTTGATTGGAAAGTAGGTTATGGGAAACACGATGTTCGAGGAGACTTCCGATATATATAGCAGATGCTGATTTAAAACTGTGATAAAAGAAACCATATCAGCACTTAACGGGTGGGGGGGTACATGATAGAGATCGGCAAGCACGTGAAATGAGGCGTTGACCCAAAGATCCACTTCGTTCTGTTTCCACGATCTGGAGAGTTCTGGATGATGATTAGCAGAGGACGGAAACGTCATTTGCCACAGGTGACTCACTGGGGTGTGGTTCATATTGGTTGGGGGCACTCGGTCCAGAGCTGATATGATCTGGGGCATTTAGAGGAGCCGAACTTAAATCGATGACGTAATGAGTAGAAGGAGGCAAAGCAACGAAGAGTCGGCATGAAGCCAGGAAGGCTTCAAGTACGTCGATCAAAACATCCCTAGGCTTGATAAGGGGTAAACGATCTCGCAGCGGAGTCTCGGGGGTGGTGGGGGGTGTGAGAAAGGGATTGGGGCAGAGGATAAAACACGGCAAATTTGAGATGATCGAAGAAGGTCCGGACGTCTTCCACCGGCTCGAGTAAAGGTGTAATGGTTGATAAGATCGATGCGATGAGAATGTGAGGGAGATTGATTAGAAAAATGGGAATGCAAGGGAGTAGGTAGACCGAATACGTGCCTGGTTCCAAGTTGAAGAGCTGGATGGAGGAGGGAGGTAAGGAGTGGATTTGGAGTGAGACGCGTGGAACTCAGATTAAACCGTCAGGACGCAGAAACCTCGAAATTCGGAATGGGGATTGGGAGTTTTGGGAGTTTTGCCGCCGAACGCGGTCTTGCCTTAACTTGAATGATGATCACACTTACTCAATGGCTCAATAACACACCTGTGGAGCCTTAAGCCTTCGGTACCTACCCGAAGTTAAATGTGCGACTACCTACGGATAGCTTCCGAAACGCATTATGGCAGATACGCCAGATAAGCCAGACAGATCCTGGTTGTACATTTTGCCTCAAGGTAGAAATTTTTTTGAATTTGCACCATCAAGAAACACATTTTTGTGCATTTGAAACTACATTAGGCCTATGAGAAATTTAAAAAAAAACCCTTCCAAGACTTGAAATTTTCGAAAAAAAAAGCCAGACCTGTCTGACACACTTTGAGTGCGTCAGACAAGTCTGGTGGTCTTCCACAACAACACAAAAGTCCAGACATGTCTTGCATCCAGATCCGTCTGGGACATGTCTATACAGCCAGACACGTCTGGATGTGAGACATGCCACAGACTGTTCTGGATGTAATATATTCCCCAGACAGATCTGGATATAAGACACGCCCCAGACGGATCTGGATGTAAGACATGTCTGATGATGTTGGACAAATACCCACCACTGACCAGACATACACCAGATAGATCTGGTGGTGTTGACAGATTGCACTTTCACCAAAGGTACATATGTATAATTAAAAACATCCGGCTGTATGGCCTTCATCTTCCTCAAAATACAACAGCTGAACATGTCGCAAGGCCCGAGTTGCTTACCACGCTTTTGGACTGCCGTCTGGGGAAAACGGAGCGCCCTTTTTTT